AGTTGCCCAGGAAAGCTGCAGAATATCCTTCACTGGAGGTTTTCAAGAAGATGCTGAATAAGCATTTGTCTGGGATAATTTAGGAATAGTGCATCCTGCATTTATTCAGCAGGTTGGACTAGATGATCCCTGAGCTCCCTTCCACTTCTATAGTTCCAGGGGTTATTTTTATTTAAATTAAATATTTTTTTCATTTTAAAAATTAACTCATTATAATTAAAATGATGACAAAACTAAGTACAAACAGTTTACATTTATTTTATTAAAATTACCAAAATACTAAGCAGTATATGCTTTCTGTTGAAGTTTAAAAAAAATCAAACCAGTCAACTGGTACAACTTACAGACTTAGCACTGCAATCAGTTCATTGCTGTATTAAGCCCGATTTTGACCACAGTGGCCTCTTCTTCAGGTGCAAAGACAGGGAATTAGCCCGGCTGTCTACAAGCACAAAGAGATCTTTCCTTCATTTCAGTTTATTCATCTATTTTGGTTCAGTTCATTCAGTCAAAAAACTGACTCTGAGGGGCTGGGGGTGGGGGGAAGGGAAGGAAAGCTGCTTTTCTTTTTCCAAAACAAGGTACGAGGGGGATGAGATCTAATAGTTCAAAATCCTGAAGGACATGATAACCAGAAACAGACAATTTTCAGGAGCAAGAGGAGGAAGGGGAAAAGGAACTAGTACCAGCCACCAGATCCTGCTCTGGGAAGCTAAAATTCAGCAGACTAGACGAAGACATAAACCCCTTGCTTAACTAGAGTCCAGAGGGAGGGGGAGTTTGTTTGGAAGCTCTCTCTCACAATTCCTTCACTGTAAGCTTGCTGAGAGGAAAAAGGTACAGGGAAAAAGGGAGCCCTTCAGATCAAGGAACAGCAAACAGGCTTCCACCCAGGTCCTGGTTTGGTGCTGTGCAGACAGAGGCTTGCAGATTTCTTCCAGTGTCAGCCAGGTGGGGAATTGCCTGCAATGTGAGCAGTGCCTTCTGGTGGTGTCCCTCAGGGAGAAGGAAGAGCTACAGAAAGAGGTAGCAAGGCTCCAAAGCATCCTCCGCCATGAGGATTTCATTGATTCCATGCTGGCGGAAACCTCTGGGAATGTGGAGGAAGGACTGCCAGAGGTGCTGTTAGAAGAGAAAGAGGGCATGGGATTCCCAAGGTAGAAGCTTGTATCATCTGGCAGCAAGAAGAAGTTGTCATGCCCATGTGCAGTGGTTTGTCTGGAGAACACATATGGAGCGCTAGCAACAGAGGAGGAGGAACAAATTTCATTGATTGAAAATCCCAGTTCAGGAATCCCCAATGTGGGGAAGATTGAGACCACTGCCATAAAGAGGAAGTGACAGGTGGTGGTGGTTTGAGACTCCCTTCTGCAGGGGATGGAGACATCTATCTGCTGACCTAAGTTTTTATCCCAAGTGATCTGCCGCTTGCCTGAAGCCCAGATCCAAGATGTCCCAGAAGGATTACCAAGACTCATCCAGTCCTTTAACTACTACCCTATGCTGCTCATCCCTGTGGACACCAATGATAATTGCCAGGGATGAACCTGAGCAGATCAAGAGTGACAACAGGGCTCTGGGTGCAAGGGTGAAGGTGACGGAGGCACAGGTCATCTTCTCCTCAATCCTTCTGGTCAAGGGGAAGGGCCCTGGCAGGAGCAGATGCATCCTGCAGATCAATGCATGGCTTCGCAGGTGATGTCGCCAGCAGGGGTTCGGCTTCTTCAACCATGGGATGTTGTTCCAAGGAGGAGGATTGCTAGGAAGAGACAGGATCCACCAGACAGAGAGGGAAGAGCATATTTGCAGACAGGCTCTCTAACATAGTAAGGAAGGCTTTAAATTAGGTTTGCAGGGGGGTGGAGAACAAAGGCTTGAGGTAAATGGAGAAGTGCAGGACCTGGAGGAAGCAGGAGGGGGCAACAGGGGAAGTGTTCTCATACTTTCTGAGAAAGTAGGGCAATCGGCTAGTCGCCTCAAGAGCCTGTACAGAAATGCATGAAGCTTAGGAAACAAGCAGGAAGAAGTGGAAGCCCTCACACAGTCAAGGAACTATGACATGATTGGAATAACAGAAACTTGGTGGGATAGCTCACATGACTGGAGCACTGTCATGGATGCGTACAAACTGTTCAGGAAGGACAGGCAGTTCAGAGGAGAAGGAGGAGGATTTGTGCTGTATGTAGAAAAGAGCTTATGATTGCTCAGAGCTCCAGTACGAAACTGGAGATAGGCCTGCTGAAAGTCTCTGGGTTAAGGCTAGAGAGCAGAGCACCAAGGATGATGCTGTAGTGGATATCTGCTATAGACCACCAGACCAGGAGCATGAGGCTTTCTTAAGAAAACTAGTGGATGTTTTCAGATCACAGGCCCTGGTTTTCATCGGGTACTTCAATCACCTTGATGTCTGCTGGAAGGGCAATACAGCAGTGCACAGGCAATCCAGGACGTTTTTGGAGAGTGTTGGAGACAACCTCCTGGTGCAAGTGTTGGATAGACCAACTAAGGGCCATGCTCTTCTTGACCTGCTGCTCACAAACAGGGAAGAATTGGTGGGGGATGTAGAAGTGGATGGCAAGATGGGCAGCAGTGACCACAAGATGATAGAGTTTAGGACCCTGACAAAAGGAAGAAAAGGGGAGCAGCAGAGTATGGATCCAGAACCTCAGAAAAACAGACTTTGACCCCCCTCAGGGAACTGATGGGCAGGATCCCCTGGGAGGCCAGTCTGAGGGGGAAAGGAAGCCAAGAGAGATGGTTGTATTTTAAAGAAAACTTACTGAGGGCACAAGAACAAACCATCCTGATGGGCAGGAAGAAGAGCAGATGTGGCAAGCGACCAGCTTGGCTTAGCAGAAAACTCTTCAATGAGTTTAAACACAAAAAGGAAGCTTACAAGAAGTGGAAGCTTGGACACACAACTTGGGAAGAGTATAAGAATATTGCTCAGGCATACAGGGATGAAGGCAGGAAGGCCAAAGTGCAACTGGAGTTACAGCTAACAAGGGAGATGAAGGGTAACAAGAAGGGTTTCTACAAGTATGTTAGCAACAAAAGGGAAGTCATGGAAAGTGTGGGTCCATTACTGAATGGGGGAGGCAACCTAGTAATAGATGAGGAGGAAAAGGCTGAAGTACTCAATGCCTTTTTTACTTTGGTCTTCACAGGCAAGGTCAGTTCCCAGAGTACTGCGCCAGACAGCACAGTTTGGGGAGAAGATAAGCTGCCCTCAGTGGTGAAAGAACAGGTTAGGGAACGTTTAGAAAAGCTGGATGTGTACAAGTCCATTGAGCCAGATGCAATGCATCTGAGGGTGCCAAAGGAGTTGACTGATGTGATTGCAGAGCCACTGGCCATTATCTTTGAAAACTCGTGGGGATTGGGGGAGGTCCTGGACAATTGGAAAAGGGCAAATATAGTGCCCATCTTTAAAAAAAAGAAGAGGAGGAGGAGGATCCAGAGTACTACAGACCAGTCAGCCTCACCTTAGTCCCTGGAAAAATCATGGAGCAGGTCCTCAAAAATCCATTTCTAACCACTTGGAAGACAAGAAAGTAGTCAGCATGGACTCACCAAGGGCAAGTCATGCCTGACCAACCTGATTGCCTTCTGTGATGAGACGACTAGCTCTATGGGTATGGGGAAAGCAGTGGACACAATATACCTTGACTTTAGCATGGCTTTTAATACAGTCTCACACAGCATTCTGGAAAGCAAGTTAAAAGAAGTATGGGTTGAATGAATGGACTGCACAGTGGATAGAAAGCTGGCTGAAGTGCTGGGCTTAATGGGTAGTAATCAATGGCTCAACGTCTAGCTGGCAGCCAGTAGCAAGTGGAGTAATCCAGGGGTTGGTCCTGGGGCCAATTTTGTTCAATATCATCATTAATGATCTGAAAGATGGGATGGAGTGCAGCCCTAGCAAGTTCGCAGATGACACCAAGCTGAGGGGTATAGTAGATACACTGAAGAGTAGAGCTAGGATTCATGGTGACCTAGACAAATTGGAGGATTGGGTCAAAAGAAATCTCATGAGGTTCAACAAGGACAAGTGCAAAGTCCTGCACTTAGGTTGGAAGAATCCCATGCATCACTACAGCCAAGGGACTGACTGGTTAAGTAGTAGTTCTGCAGAAGAGGACCTGGGGGTTACAGTGGACAGTAAGATGAATATAAGTCAGTAGTATGCCCTTGTGGCCAAGAAGCTAACAGCATACTGGGCTGCATTAGTAGGAGCGCTGCTAGCAGATTGAGGGAAGCGATTATTCCTCTCTATTCTGCACAGGTGAAGACACATGTGGAGTACTGGGTCCAGTTCTCTTCCCACTGTAGAAAGGATGTGGACAAGTAGCAATAAAAATGGTTTGGGGGCTGGGGCACATGACTTCCGAGGAGAGGCTGAGGGAACTGTGTGTATTTAGTTTGAAGAAGGGAAAACTGAGGGGAGATTTAATAAACAGCCTTTAACTACCTGAAGGGTGGTTCCAAAGAGGATGGAGCTAAACTAAACTATTCTCAGTGGTGGCAAATGACAGAACAAGCAGCAATGGTCTAAAAATTGCAGCAAGGGAGGTTTAGGTTGGATAATAAGAAAACAACTCTCAGTAGGAGAGTGATGAAGCACTGGAACAGGTTATCTAGAGAGGTGGGGGAATCTCCATCCTTAGAGGTTGTTAAGGCCCAGCTTGACAAAGCCCTGGCTGGAATGATCTCGCTGGGGGTGGTTCTGTTTGAGCAGGGAGTTAGACTAGATGGCCTCCTGAGGTCTCTTCCAACCCTAATTTTCTATGATTCTATGAATTAGCAAATCAATTTTAAATGTAAAACACATTTATATAAAGATTACTTTTTAGATATTCTCAGCACAGTTGAGGTATTTTATGTAACTAATAAAAAGACAATTTTAAAACACTGTTTTTACATTTAATTGAATTTCATTTCCATTCAAATAAAAGTGAGACCAAAAAAAATCATGAAGGAAAAAAGAATTCATTGTTCATCATTTTCTAATATAATAAAAAATGAAAGAATTCAAGAATTCAGAATCTGTATAAGTGCATGCTAAGCTACATAATTGCTTTAAAAATGTGCATAGATATTATATATCCTCCTGGTTTGCAAAATGAAGTGCCCAGTCGCATGCAAAGACTATATTTATTAACATGCTATAATGGTTACCAGCGTTTTCCAGCCAATGAAAATGAACCCTTCAAGAAAATTAATTAAAATACAAATACAAGAGAAGATTAAAATCAAATTCATTTAAAAACTGTTGCCTGCTTGCTGATTTAAATTATTATCAAAATTGGTGACTTACTTCACTTGGATTAAAACCAATCCATCCTGCAGCTTACTTCAGCAATCTCCTTGATTCTGGTCTGCTACTGACCTCCTAAAGCCTAATCACACATGTGCTGCCTGCCTCTCACTTGTGCCATCTCCACTTCACCACCCACCCATTGCAATGCAAAAAGTACCAAGAGATCACAGGAGTCAAATGAAGAGAATGTCACCTGACTGCCTGCCCGTCCAGCAGCTGCACATCAGGAAAAGCTTCCCTCCCACCTGTCATGACAGTTACGGAGAAACTGGCCAGAAAAATAGCAGAGAGTCCCTGGGAGGCGGGGAAGAAATCCTGGGCATTTTTGTGTTTTAGAAGAGAGAAAGAATTGTTCAAAGATCCATACAACCCAATGATTCCAGCTAATAATCCCATCCCACAGCCTACTAGATGTTAAACAGGAGACTTACTGTATTTACTTCAATGTAAGATGATACTGAATCTAAGATGGCCCACCACAACTATTAGATTCTATATACGGAAAATGTATAGATTTGTTATAATTTTCCAGGTATAACAACATCTAAGACAGAATATTCAGTCAACACTGTCTGAATACTCATACAGGCTATACACAGGTACATAATAAAACATTTAGCAATATATCTCACTATTCAGCATCTGGATACTGCACGAATACTGTAAGTATACATATAATAGACTGAGGCCCAATGCTTTGAATTAAAGAACTCCTAGTCCTCAGGACTACACTGCCACTGCTTGTGCTTTCCTTTTTTACTCTTTATATTTCCCTCATTTTGGACAATAAAAATATACTCCTCTGCTCAATTTAGATTATAGTCACTTTACAGTCCATTTTAATTTCAGGTTCTACCTTTTTAAGAACAGCCTTGTATTGGAATTAACGAACATCCTGCTTCTCTATAATGCCTCAATTTGTGAAATTTCATAGCAAGAGAAGTGATTAAGTAGAACTGACACCTAATAGTAATCTGCTGAAAAAATACATCTCTTTCACGTGTACCCCTACTCAACAAAAATAGACAACGCTGAATTTTGCCACATTAATAAAAACAAAGCTTCTGCACATTTGTACAACCAAACTAGCATTTAGTTCTCATAGCAAAAGATGGTAATTTTACATTTGAACATCTCTCAGTAATTCAAACATCTCCTTTGTCCAGATGGAATTAGATTCTTCCCCAGCAACTGAGTTTACTGGTAAAGAAAGGAAAAGGAAAAAAAAAGGAAAAAGGAAAAGACATTCAGGTGACAGAGTGCCAGAACAAAAATGTGTTGTCCTGGAAACTAACTCTTAGCTTCACAGGCTACAGTATGCACTTCCAAATGGCTATTGATAAATGTTTATTTGGGTATTAAAATACCCTCTATTTACTTTGGGTTGCAGAGTTATCACAAAATAGGAAGATGTAGATCCCTTTCTGCAGCATCTCTTTTTGATTTGAGACTTCCACATGTGTCCTTCCTCATAGATCTGTTTCTCTGTATATATTAGTAGGATAACGATCAACACACTGGACTAGCACTATCCAAGTTATTATCAAAGCCAGGATGATTAGACATCTTGTGATGATACAACTCTTAGATCCAAAATTCCAAAATAATCTACTTAGTCATTTCTATGCTCTCAGCAATCCAGTGATACATCTTACCAGCCAAAGTACATATTTTCAACAGGTTTTAAAAGATAAGCGATATCATTTTCCATTTCAGTACTTTGATATAGAAGTGATAAGAGAAGCGAGCGCTGATGCCCAAAAGCTAAAATTAGATTTTTGCTTGAATATATTCAAGATGTTCTTTATCCACCAAGCTCTCCAAATTATTCACATACTCTGTTGTAGCAACTGGTTGAAAGATAGCATTCAGTATATTGATTGTAGAGAAGATTAGGTCTCACTTTTTTAATCAAGTTCCAACAAGGAATAAATCAAAGAATTTTGGAGAAGACACTGATTCTGGTATCTTCTGCTGTTAAGTTAAGACTGCAGAGCCTTTGGTCTTGGTGGTTGGAGATCTGGTTAGGAAAAAAAAACTCTGTTGGAATGCTTTGTTTTTATGTTGCATTATCTTTATGGATTTAATAATATAGTAAAAAACTACAGCAGCTCAAAGATATCATAGCAGATAAGTAAAATGCATTAAAATAGACAGTCAAACTACAATCACTGAATAGAAAATGAACAAGGTTGCTATGTTCCAAATTCATCCCCATCACATTTGTTTCAACAGATCTAGTTTGCCCAGTTGTAAGCAGTTAACTGCACAGAAATGTTATACATCCGATAGCTGTATAATATCTTCGTGGAATTTATCCCATTGTCCTCCATAATGTGTTCAGGACAAAAATTTTAAGGTAGATTTTAAAATCATTAATAATTAGCCACTGTAAAACTTGATAGATTCGTAAACCAGCAGAAGATCAATTAATTACTCCAACTTTATGCGCAGTTGGTGAAAACATGAGACAGTGCTGAATCATCCCTGAAAAAAGTATTGGTTGCAAAACTACTTCCTTAAAACTTGCAGCAGGCAATGATTAAAGCAAATATCGGCAGTCCTCGACTTACAATGTTTTGAGTTACAACATTTCGCACTTACTACGTTTATAAATTGACACCCATTTCAACTTTATGATGTCAGTTTTGACTTTACAATGCTTGATCTGATGCAACGCCATGCCAGCAAACAAGTTCACTGCGTTGCTCATCTCCCTGGAGAACATCGGTCCAAACTTCCTTGGACACTTTCTTTAAGAAAGCAAAAAGACTCCAGAAAAACCTGCAGCCAAGACTCCTGAGAAGACTCCAGCCAAGAACCCTTCAAAAAGCCCAACCAAATCGATGTCCTTCCAAATCAAAGTCCTTCCAAATCAATGTGATTGCTATTTACAATATAAATATATTAATGTAGCTATATTACTCATCTATAATTCTGGGGTATTTTTGGTGAAAATAGGGTAATTGGGCCTTGGTTCAGGAACCAATCCCCCCATTTATAACATTGTTTCTTATGAGAAAATTGGTTCCAAGTTACATTTCAACTTAAGATCTGGTTTTCAGGAGCCAATTGTGTTGCAAGTCCAAGGACTGCCTATAGTTAAAATTCATGGGCACTTAAAAAATACTGAAAGAAATACTGACAGAAGTGAAGCATTTGAAAGTACATGGAAGTTAAACATGACTGTGCTGATCAAGTAGAAGTCAGGGTAGAGTTGAACCTTACTGACTATCCAAAGTGGATGTACGTCAAGACAGCGAGAACACACAAGCAACAGGGCGAGCAAAAGAAAGCACGAGCTAGCACAAGCTTTCATGAGCTGAAGTTCACTAGGCCTAGGTAAAGACATTGAAAAAGCTTCAGGCAGAATCAATCTAAGTTATGTGGTTTTCTGTATGTGGCATAGTTTTGGTTGGTAGCGAATGGGGTGGAAGGAGTGGGAGAGGGTAAGTCTTAGACAAACTGAGTTCTGCCATTTCTAAACCATTTGGTGTGCGCCAAACTTCTGTTCGGTTACAAGTATAGACCGGTTTCCAATCACTTAGGCAGATAAAAGCATAATGTCCGTACCCGGCCTAGGAGTCGAGAATGGCAAGCTCTGTTGTATTAGAACCTGAAATGTAAACAATTGCCTACAGGTCTTGGACAACTCACTGAGTAACTTAGGCAAAGGACTGAAATGGAGTGCTTCCCAAAAATCACAAAGTCAAATAAATGTTTGCTTGAGTTGTGTGTGCTTACTACATTCCTTGTTGTTTGCCATGTTGTGCTGTTTATCTCAGGGCTCACTTTGATTAGCCTTTAATTAACTGTAATAAATCTCTGTTATCCCTGCCAGGATTCTGAATGCTGCTATGTTTGATTAATCTGAACAACCACTTAAAATGATGATGGCATAGATTTTTTTTTTTTTTTTTGACAAATCAGTGCTATAAAAGCTGTAGTCTCCTCTCTCCTGGAAATTTGTGATATGCTTCAGGACACGACACAAACTTCGCACAAATCATATCTAA